TGATGATGATGATGCTGATGATGATGATGATGATGATGATGATGATGATGATGATGATGATGATGATGATGATGATGATGATTGTAATGACGATACATCCCGGGGTAACCTTGTACAAATTCCAACCTGGGCAATCATGCTGGCTTCTGGAATGAATGTGCAGACGTAAGCAGATCATCCGGCCTTGGGATCTCCCAGCATCGCCTCACAGTAGGAATCGTAGAGTGACGTGATTTGGGCGCTTGGAATTAGTACCAGTTTGTTTTTTTCGACCCGGTTGGAAAATGTACCAATCGGTTGGGATTAGTCCCAGCCGGTTGGAATGAGTACCGCAGGCGGTGTCCAGCACGTGGTATGAAAGGGGATCTCTCCTCAAGGCCGCTGCCGCCGTCGTGGGCCAGGCTCGCCCTGGGGCCCCCCAAACGGGGCCTTGAGAGGTCAATTCCTCCTCCTCCGCCCTCCTCCTCCTCCTCCTCCTCCTCTTCCTTCCTCCTCCCTTCTCCCTCCTCCCTCCTCCCTCCTCCCTCCTCCCTCCTCCCCCCTCCCTCCGACCTCCGACCACCGAAGCAACCGAACATGGGACATCGGGGCGGAGGAGGGATGGGGGGATGGACGAGCTAGGCGCGCTGGCGACTTGATGATCTGACATCCTACCCCTCCCACCCATCTTTCCCGACAGCGCCAGGTCTTTTTCCCAACCACCCTGTGGTGTTGGGTCCTCGTTTTGAAGAGAGCGCCCCGCGTCTCCTCTCCTCCTTCCCCCTCCTCCCTTCTTCCATCCCTGCCTCTGCTCGCCGCATGTCCACCATGTCGGCACACCCCTCACGAGGATCGTGGCCCCATAGGGAGCTCCACCGAAGGCCCCAGCGGCAGGGACCCCTCCCACCCATCCTTTCCGACGGCGCCTGGTCTTTTTCTCTATCCGCCAGATGGGGATGTCCTGGAGGACTCTGATCCCGCAGTGATATGACCCCTCGTTTGCCGTGCAATCTGGAAGGGGGGCACTTGTACGTTGGAAGGGACCGGAGGGAAAACGCATGAAGGTGGAGGAGGCGGAGGAGGAGGAGGAGGAGGAGGAGGACCACGATGAGGTTTATGAGCAGGAGGGTCAGGGGAAGGCGGGGGAAGGGAAGGGAACGGATGGGGATGGCAATTGACAATGGCGAGAAAGGAGCTAGATTCGGACATGCGGCCTGCGCTTGGAAGAGAACGCCAATCTGAACGACGGGAGCAGACACACCGATCCTGAAGTGTGGCCAGCGCTGCAGCGGGAGCGCCCTTTCGAAGGTCGGTGGGCATTCCGATTGAAAAGCTACATGACGTAACAGCTCGGGACAATCCTGTGCGCACGCAGTCTGCGGGACAGGCGGGGGAAATTCAAGGAGCATCATCGGGAGAGGATCGGAGTGTTCATATATTGTCGCTGTGGAAGGGGACGGGCAGGGCGAGGATGGAGCGGGAGAGGAGGGGAAGGGAGGGATGGAGAGGGAGGAGGCGAGGCGAAGGGAGGGAGGGATGGGGACGTGGGGAAGGGGGGGAGAGGAGGTGAGGGGAGGGGGGAAGGGGGGAGATGCAAGCTAGGTGCGCTAGCGTCACATCTGACGTCTTACCCCTCCCTCCCATCCCTTACCGTGGCGTAGACCTCCTATCTATTCGCACAGTCGGCTGTCGAGCAATGCAATGATCCCAAGAGGGTACGCGATGGATGGAAAAGCATGGCGTAGAAGAGCACGGCAGAGCATAGCATGCCATAGCATGGCGTGGCATGGCGTTGTGAAGCATTGCATCATAAACCATAGCAACGCAAAGTATGGCATCGCTCAGCGGTGCGCAACACAGTATCGCATTGCATGCCGTGGCACGGCACCGGATGACTTGGAGGGTAAGTGGCCCGTCGACGAGACGACAGGGACTGTCCGGAATGCCGGCTCCATGTCCTCCGCAACCGTGCCTGCCCGATGCGGGCGCTTTCGAATGCCAAGTGCCGTCCAGAGGCGCGGGAACGAGACCAGCGCTGCAGCGGGAGCATGATTTTGACTGACCGAAGTGCAGAAATAAGGGCGGCGCTGCAGCGGGAGCACCGTTTTGGAAGAACCGGAAATGAAAGGATTGAAACATCACATAGAAAACACCAACACATGAATTCCTACGTATAAAACAAACCATACGCGGAGAGGACGGGACACTCTCTGGATAGAGTCAGGGGAGAGGAGAGTAGCATTCGTATTGTGAAATTGTGGAGGGACGGGCAGGGGAAGGAGAAGGTTGAGGAGGGAAGGGGGTGGGGGTGTCGGGGAGGGAGGTTGGTTAGCTGCCCTCCTCCTCCTCCTCCTCCTCTCCTCCCCTCCTCCATCCTCCATCCTCCATCCTCCATCCTCCATCCTCCATCCTCCATCCTCCCATCCTCCGTTCTCCTCCTCCTGCTCCTCCTCCTCCATTCCATCCTCCATCCTCCATCCTCCATCCTCCATCCTCCGTCCTCCGTCTCCGTCCGCCTGCTCCT